TAATAATAATAATAATAATAATAATAACAATAATAATAACAATAATAATGAAAATGGTGATGATGATACAGATGATAATGATGATGACGATGATGATTATGGTTAAAATGTTGATTAAGATGATGACATCATCATCTGTACTTAGACATCTGCTTCGAGATGTTCATCTCATTATCATTTACTAACATCATCTGATACGAAAAAAATTTCTATTTCATCATCATCATTATCATTATTAATATTATTATTATCATTATCCAATTTTATTGATTAGTATAATTTTTTATGGTTATAGTTTTTAGAGTGTCTATTGATTGGATGTTATCATTCAGTACAACATACACAATGGTTGTTACGCAAATGTGTGCGTGTGTGTTGTGTTGTGTGTGTTGTGCGTGTGTGTGAGTAACAACGTAGAAATGGAAATAGATCATTCGTTTAATTTGTGTAAATATATCTTGAATAATAAATTTATAGTAGCCAAATTATATCAGATTATTTATAGCCAATCGTTATCTTGAGAAGAGTATGTTTGACGATATAGTTGAAACTGATTCGTTTTTGTCAAGTTGTTGTTAATATTTGATTCAGCTACCTTTTTAAATATTTTCCTTGTTATTATTACCATGACCATCATCATTTTTAAAACCGGTATTATCATCAATATTATCTTCATCAAATCACATCAGCGTTATCATTGTCATCGGCAATAATAATTTTTAACGTGGAAAGGCTTATTTTCATTTTTTTAGAATTCATTTCTGCAGATCAGATGCATCTAAACTAGTTTTTATGTTTTTTCATAATATTATTTGGCTGACTGGTTTACTAAATTTATTTTATATTAACTTATATGCGTTGAAATCAGAATTCAGAAGGCATTCCTATATGTTTAATAAGTTTGAAAAGCATGTTCCAACGAAACATTACTTGATTCTCTGACTTTTCTAACATGGTTCGTTCCACCAGTCAACTTCAAATCATTCGAGAGTTGAGAGCTCCATTTAAGTTGTTGATGAATAAATTTATTTACTGTTTTTATGTAAACGTTTTTAGCTTTTAAAATTTCATCGGATTACAAAACGATAAACAGCATATTGAGTTTCATTTTAAAACGTTCTAGTTCTACCAACAGCAACCTCTTTTGAATTTTAAAGTGAGATCATATCTTTCTGGATTTGAATGTGTTTATTGTTTAAACAAATCTTTTCTAACAAGCAGTGGATCTGTAGACTTATTAGCATGTCTAGAAATCTCTCCTACAAACACAATAACATCATTAACATAAGCATAAACACCAATACTAACTTACGTGCATCACAAAGAAACCTACGACGCACTTGCTTTTATTCGTTCATTCGTTCATGCACATGTTTGCAACTTCATCAACATACAAATACAAATAATCACACACACACACACATACACACTAATTCACACGCACATACCTGCAATTTTAAGCGTATTCGCACACATGACATAAACATTAAAATACCACAGAAGACAAACGTGTGTTTCAAATATACATACACATTCATTTACATATGATACGATCGGACGTACGTGATATATTCATTCATATACAACTATATACATAAACAAACGCTCACTCGTATTGTGAACTGACACACGTATAATTATATACAACATTTGTATAAATAAAAATATATACATATTTGTATTAATTGACTGCAAAATCACACACACACACAGCACATGCGCACACACAGACACAAACACACACATAAACACACACAGACACAAACAATAACATAAACACACACACAATAGCTCCACATGCACACATGTTTGCATAATTCTAAACCTGTACTCACATACAAAACGTGCCAGCAAACACATAGCGCCTTATCCATTATTTTAAAATCAACCTTCAATCCGTCATCTATCATTCTGTCATTTTTCGCTCATCTGTCCATCAACTCATTCATTTGTGAATATTCGAACATGGCGTTCACCATGCAAACATGGCGTTCACAAAGCAGACATGTCGTTCATCAGGCAAGCATTCAATTAAACAAACAAAGTCCACGTTATCGAAATCGCCGTAGGAAATTATTTCGTCACCATCGTCGTCATCATCATCATCATCTCTGTAGTCTGATCATCATGTTATCATCATTATTACTATTCACAATGAAACTTTTTTCATTGTCATCATCGATGTGCACCACGTCGCCAACATCTCTTCCTTAATTGTCTTAACTTCATCATGCTAATGATATAAATGTTAATTAGTTATGTTAATTATATCAATTATCATATTGTGATAATCATCAAATCGTGGCGTTAATAATAATAATATTTATTATTATCTATAGCTATAATAAAATTAACAAATGTATATACTTTTAAAATTTTAATAATAATTTTCATGATCATCATGTAATTATTTAAATATAGATTTTTATTTATGTCAAATATTAGCAACCTTACCAGTACTAATGACCACAATCACTCTGACATTTTTGTGACATTGTAATACGCTTAGTATTACGATTTCGAAAAAAATACCGATACGATTTTTAGGTAGTCTCATTCACATTACGGAATCTTCATCACCTCATCATTGCAACACATCCTTGATATGTCCATTACGATACAATATAACGAGACCAACAGAGGTCTCGTTATATTGTTGTCTCGTTATATTGTATGCTATATATATATTTGTTGGTCTCGTTATATTGTATGCTATATATATATTTGTATATTATAACTATATATATATATATATATATATATATATATATTATATGTTTATTACGGTACAATATAACGAGACCTGCAAAGGTATTTCTTTTCATGTTACGATATAATGATAATAATGATGATGATAATAATAATAATAATAATGATAATAATAATGAAAACATCCTTTTATATCCATCCTAACTCCAAATACCAAATATCAATAATGAAATAATTATAAAATCCTATTTAATCTAGAATGCTCGTCACTGGTTTAAATTGTTCAATTGGGGTTCAATCATTCTTATTATTTTGACGTTATCAATCAAATTTTAAATAATAATAATAATAATAACAACAACAACAACACAATAACAATCGTAATAATAATGATATTTTATTTTTATACCTCTAATTAATTATTTCAATAACACATTGTAAAAACATTATCTCTATATACACTCATTCTTATTGCGACATCTAGGTATTTTCATTCTTATTAGGGTATCATCGTACATCGTAATAACACAAAATTTTGAATTCTCATACTTACTACAATATCATCATCATGTATTAATTATAATTTTGTTTGTTTGTTACTCTAATCTGCGTGTCTTAACATCATCACGTGTCTCGTACTTACGTCTGTCTTACTGCGACAATACCGGATTTTGAAAGCCTAAGTTATTTAATGTTTTTTTTTTCTTTTTTTTTTCTGGAAAGCTTTATTTATAGACGGTGCACTTGCACAAGGTAAGAAAATGTATAAGGTAAAAAAAATATTTCAATCTGAAATGTCAAATCTAAAAGAACTAAGCATATAATTTTAGTTTGGCTTAAATTTTAAGATGTTGAAAATATTTTAAAGATAATTTGATACATGCACACGCATACACTCACAAACACTCACAAACACACACACATAAATAAATATATATATATATGTGTATATATAATAATAATAAATAAAAATAATAAATAATAAAATAATAATATATTATATTGTATAGTGTACATATAAATTTACATGACATACGTACATACTTGTATTAGCAGCACACACAAAAACATACAAACATATAACATACACACGTACAACATACACATTCTCACACAAACACACAACTCGCACATATATATATATATATATATATATATATATATATATATATACAAACAGTACTTGAGTACATGTATAAAAACAGAAAGCACTCTTCGCACATTATGTTTGTTTTGGTGGAACTCGTTTGACGGATCGATTCTTGTTAGTTCATCTTTTAATCGAGTCATCGTCATTATTATTGTCAATAAAACTCTTTGATATTTGTTTTCAATGTTTTTAAATTATTTTGTAAATTTTTTATTAAACAGCATTGTAGATGGTAAAACTACAGACATATGAAACTCCAATGAGTCGAGACACCAGCTCTTAATTGCTGTTCTATTTTATAATTATTTCTGAGGGTCTCTAGTCGTAGGGACTTCACAATTATTTACGATATTGTAGCGGGTTTTTAGTCATCACAACAACTAACCACAACCAACAGTTGTTACCAACAACGACTAATACCAACAACAACAACAAAACCATGGCTTCCACGTCAGTCAGAACACAACTAACGAAGATGTTGTTGGCCAGATATTCAACCACAATCGTGCAGCAGTCTTCAAAACTGAGTTCAGTTAGTAACAACATCGCGACGAACGAACTAACTGGCTTGAATGACATTAAAAAGTTGGTTGTTTACAAAATGATGCATGAATTATTGAATAAATTTTCTACGCTTAAATTTAAAATATCGTTTGATTTATCTTGAGTAACGAATGAAATCTCCAATATTTTTTTGATTTTTTGATTGTTGTCAGTTGTTTTGGCTAAAAAACTTGCAATAATAACGTCTTAAATTATTTTTCCTATCTAAAATGGATTAATTGACAATTTAATTTGAATAAAAAAAGGAGCCAAATTGTTCTACCGTTGAATATACGTTAATGTTAGACGTTAGTTAATAAGCTGAGATTTAAATTATGCAAATGAGATAGGGAAAGATTAGCTACAAAATTAATTCAGCGTCTAATTTTCTAAAATCTTCGAAATTTGACTTTAATGACATTGAAATAATGGTCTTAATTTGATTTAATTTTTCAGCGTGGCATTTCAATCCAAAAGACGACTACTGACGTCTGTCAACAAAATATGCAACAAAAATGTTTCCAACAAAGTGCAAAGTTGTGCCACCAATTTGACACAGAAACGTACCTTCCTCGATAAACGAATCACCCAACACTACATGTCACTTCCACAACCGGAGAACGCGGTCCAGGTCACGTACGTGTGGATAGATGGCACGGGAGAACAAATGCGTGCTAAGGACAGAACATTGAACTTTGAACCTAAAAATGCACAAGGTTAAGTCAAACTTTTGACATTATACTTTTTTAAGGATAATGTTTTTAAGTTTTCGAATTTTATCAATGTGCATTATTATTTTAAAAATTGCTGTACACAGATTGTCCCATTTGGAACTTTGATGGATCGAGCACGGGTCAGGCAGAAGGAACGACTAACTCGGACATGTACCTCATCCCTGCTGCCCTCTACAAGGACCCCTTCAGACTGGGTTCCAACAAGCTGCTGCTCTGTGAAGTTGTCGACAGCAAGAAGAAGCCCATAGGTTGATGCTAATTGTTGTTTTTACAAAAATGTTAGCTTAACTGGGAATTCTGTGTACATTTTAAAGTTTAATAAATTTCATGTTTAAGTTTTATGTTTAAATTTAAAGTTTCAATTTGATAAATATATTTATTAAAAAAATTGTTCATGTTTACCAGCAAGCAACGCCAGAGCATCTTGTGTCGAAGTAATGAAGAAAGTTCAGGAGCACGAGCCCTGGTTTGGAATGGAGCAAGAGTACACGTTGTTTGGACAGGACAGGAGACCACTGGGCTGGCCCACCATCGGTGTTCTGCCTCCTCAAGGTGTGTTTCACATTTGTTAACATTTAATTCAGTTTTCGCTTTTATTGTTTTTAATACTAGTTAAAAATTTTATTAAAAAAACTTATTAAAATGGCTCAGTTTTTCTTTTACAATGGTTTAAAAAGAAAAAGTAAAATTCACAACTGAAATAATAAAAATGTAAAATAATTTTTTCCAGGACCATACTACTGCGGAGTGGGACCGAACAAAGTGTTCGGACGTGACATCCTGGAATCGCACTACAGAGCCTGCCTGTACGCAGGGCTGAAGATTGGCGGCACGAACATTGAAGTCATGCCTTCCCAGTTTGAGTTCCAGGTAGGTTTACGATTTACGATTTTTACGAGATATTTTGGCAAAACCCGTTAAGTTTTAAAATTTTTCAAACACAGACCTTGCTGAATAAAATATTAAAAATTATAAACTATAACATAAATTGAAGATTCAACAAACGATGCTAGATCTAAATTCTCTTCTAGATAAAAAAATTAGCATAAAAATACTTAGTTACGAAATGTTCGTTTTTGCTTATTTTAACGTGCATAACAAATGTAACAAAATCTGAAACTGCTGGACAGATCGGTCCGTGTGTCGGAATCGAAGCAGCTGACGAGTTGTGGATAGCGAGGTTCATGCTGTACAGGATCGCTGAAGAGTACGGAGTTGACGTCTCCTTCGATCCTAAGCCACTTCCAGACTGGAACGGAGCTGGTGGTCACTGTAACTTCAGCACGAAGGAGATGAGGGAGGAGGGTGGAATCACGTTAGTTACTGTAGATCATTATGATGATTTCATGATTTGTGATACTTTGATGTCATTATGATTATATAATTTGTAGCTAATGTGAACAACACTTTCTTGTTAAATGTTTGTGTTTATATTTACTTCTAACTTAAAGACAATGTTGAGTTTTATTTTTTAGTTGATTTGTCAAAAAATTCTTTTTTTTAACGCATTTTGATGAGATAATGATATAATTAGATAAAGATTCAAAAACTCTGCTACAATGTAATGAATTGAATAATTTCCTTGCTTACGCGGTTGAATAAACAAAGTAGGGTTACAATTTATTAAAATATGCCTAGTCGAAGTTGATGTTTTTAAAATTGATTCGATAGAATGTTTTTTTTGGTAATTGGAGAGAAGAAGAAATCCCCAAATAATTTCATATAAACCAATTAGAGAACCAAACTAAGCAATTTAACAAAGCTAAATAATATACAGTATATTTTTTAAAATTTGTATACTAAAATAATAAAAATGTAACAAAAGTTAGAATAATAAATTAATTTTCTGTCTCCCGTTTGCAGACACATCATGAACGCCATTGAGAAGCTGAAGATGAACCATCTAGAGCACGTGAAGTGGTACGACCCTAAAGGAGGGGAAGACAACAAGAGGAGGCTGACTGGCCACCACGAAACCAGCTCCATCTTCAGCTTCTCATCGGGTGTGGCAGACAGGGGAGCCAGTGTCAGGATCAGCAGACAAGTATGGGAAGGGTTTCTTCACTTATAACTTCACGTTCACTTGCGATGATTCAAATCATTGGAAAATATTTAATCTAGGAGGGGTGTAACACGTAGCAGCAATATTTGTAATGAATTTAATGAAAAATTTTCAATCATTTACAGAAAAATTAACACACAAAATGTACAACTGGAACAACTTTAATTATTTTTAATAAAAATAATTAAAAAATTGATAGACGAACAAGCGAAAAAGTAAAAAAAAGACAAATTAATAAAATAAAAAATTGTAAAAAGTTTGAATTGAATTAAAATTTATATTTAAATTTTCAAAAAATAAGGTGCACGATGACAGGAAAGGATTTTTTGAGGACAGAAGACCAGCCGCCAACGCCGACCCCTACAAAGTCACTGAGATCCTCTGCAGGACGGTCTTGCTCTAAGAGGAAAAAACATATTCTAATACAAATCCATTAAAAATGTGATTATTATCAAATATCTTTTATTATTGGTTCTATTATTTCTATTTTATCGATTTGCATTCTTTTTACTTGAGTGATGCACGTTTTAATGGTAATATTTTTGAAATGTATTAAACGTTTATCATTATCATTGTTCGTAGTTTGCCATGTAATTGAATATTAATTTATTGAGTATATCTATGTTAAAATTTGTGATTGTGTGTGTGTGTGTGTGTGTGTGTGTGTGGTGTGGTGTGTTATCTTCATTTATGTGGAAACGTATGAATGTATCTTATTATAAGTATATGATTTTAGAGTGCTATAGCTATAGGCATGTATTTTGAAGTAAAACGCTCCTAGATTATTTTGGGAAAATTTTCAACTTGAAAAACATTGATTTACTATTTAAATTTTTATATTTTTAATGTGTTCAATTTCTAAATGTCAACCTCTACACATACAGCTAACAAGTCAACTATAATTACATGTGGATGTAATTATTTAAAGAAGTTAGACAATAATTGTGAAAATGTATATATAATTTCATAATATGATATATGAGAAATATTACAAAGAATTATCGTTTTAGGTTTTGAAAAACTGATTTATTTAAAATTTTATAGCACTTCAAATAACCGCAGTGTACTAACGATATTTTAGAGCTAGCGTTTTTCATATCCATCCAATAACTGATATGACATTTATATTTATATAGATATATCAATATTATTTAACTTATTATAATTTATTAACCTAGGTGCTACGCTAAAGATTCTATCCTCAGTAGATTATTTCAAAAATTTTTGAATTTGAATTTTAAATGAACTTTTTTGTGATAATTCGGTATCAGTGTAATCCTTGCTTTTTACTCTATATTCACAATAACCTGACAAGCAATAAAATATATAAAATTTATGTCATCAATTTGTAAATTAGAATATTTTTTGCAGATATTTTTAACCCTATGTTGTTTGATTTCTTATAACATTGGACATTCTAATAAGACAGAAACATGAATTAGGGTAGTGTTGCTCATTGTAGATTTGTAACAAGTTGCTAAATAAGAACTTTTGTGGAATACACTGTAATGTTTTATTTTGCCATTAGCTTTAAATATAGCGTCTTCCTTCAGCTATGTTCAGTGCTCAGACTAATTATTATTTTCATGCCAAGTCATTATAATATTATTTTGAAATTAGGTAAATTTATGATACTATGTCTAATAGTAAAACTTAATAATAACTTGAAAAGATGTTGTGAGAGTTAATTACTGGTAAATGCATTTAAATTATTTTAAATAACAAAAATTTCAAACCCGTACACTTTCTCACTTTCAAATAAGTAGCCTCTCTTCTACTACCTGACAACATTTACAATATCATAATTAATTTCCTATCTAATAGGAGTCATTCTACTCTTTTTAGCTCTACTCTTTCATCTACTCTACCTAATAACTCTAGCGTAGTTCAAGGTTCTGTCCTTGGTCTATCTACCTTTATCATCAACGCTTCTACTCTCAAAACTTTTCATAGCTCTAATCAAATCATCAAATACGCTGACTACACCTACCTTATCATTCCATCATCTAACTCAAACACCATCCAATCAGAACTCGACTCATTAACCACATAGTCAAAACGATGCAACCTTTCACTTAATCTCAATAAATCATTCGAACTCATCATTTACAATAACCGTAAAAAATAACATTACCTCCTGAACACCCATCAATCACTCGCACAAATTATCTAAAAATATTAGGCATTACATTCACCTCCACACTCAATATAGCACCTCATATCAATTACATCATCACAAAAGGCTTTCAAACATTTCACGCACTCAAACACTCCGTTCACATGGTCTCAGAGGCATCATATTATTCGACATCACCGAATCACTCATCATCTCACGCATCAAATATGCAGCTCCCTCCTGGTCTGGTTTTGCCACGCAACAACAACCTCAGCAGCTACAATCTCTCATCAAAAATCATCAATCTCTTCAACTTCCTACCTGCATTATATCCTACCGTCACCCAGATATTCAACACACTTGATTCAAGGCTGTTCAATAAAATAGAAAATAACAACAACCACGTCATCCATCCTCTACTACCACCAACCAAAACTACAACACACAACCTTCGTCAGCGCAAACATACATATCAAGTCATCGCCCAATCTACATACCAGGAAAAGACCTTCATCACAAGACACCACAAACATATTAGCACTTAAGAAAACTTCATCATTACTGAACTAGCTTTTACTTATTGATCACCTCACTTTCATCGATCACTTCACTAACTCACTAAGTCATCATTTAGTCTATTAATAAGTTATCAAATATATTAATACTCATTAAACTTTTTCACACACTGGCCTAGCCTTTATTTATCGATCACCTCACTAAGTCATCATCTAGTCTATCAATTTGCCGTTACTTCATTTTATATTCCATCGTCAATTACTTTTCTTTTATTTCTTTTATTCTAACATATTTTATTTTTCATGTTTTATCATTTCTCTTCCTCACTTTTTGTATTTATTTTCTCACTTATTTGCTTAATTTTGTTTTACTGCCTTGCATGCTGTTACAGCTTCTGCGTCTGTCAGATCCTGATTTTTAAAGAATTAAAAAAAAATTTCGTTATTGCTGCAACTTTTCATCCATAGAAATGAATTAAATAACATGATCGAGATTGAATAGAGAATACGAAGGAAGAAAAAATAACCAAAAAATGCTCCATCCATCGTTTATGGTTGTAGAACAGCATATGCATGTATGTAGATTGCTTTGACAGCCACCATACCTATGTTACTTGCAAATCAAAGATAGTTTTCCAATCTCTGGTCCTTATGCAGTTTTCCTAATTAGGAATATATGTTGCCAACATTTGCCTGATAAAATGCATTAATAAATATTATTTTTCTCTTTTACAAGACAAAATTTTAACTAGACATTTTAATTAATTACGCTAAATCATTGTCATAAACTTTTGATAGATTTGAAGTTTCACTCTGCTGTATGTCAAAGAAAATGAATATAACTGAATTGCTGAGAATTGTGCATTAATCTGGTGAAACAAACAAACACAGACAAAAACAAACACACACATACACGCATAGACACCGAAACACAAATGTTTAATGTTCAAATATTCTCTCTAAATCCGGCAAAAACAATTAATTAGATTCGGCGTTCGTCGAGTGTTACGAGATGAGAACGTTTTAACACGAGTATTTGCACAACTTACAATAGCAAGAAACGTTACATGCTTCTCCATCCAGCAATACATACAAAAACTCACATTTCTACAACAACCGGACGTGTCTAATGAGCGTGCGAGTGTGAAATTATCATATATTATCATATATTTATACTATTTCAGTATCCAGAACATTAAGAAATAAGATTGTTAAATAAAACTTTGTCACATTAAATGTATTACATTTATTCAATTTTGGATTTAGTTAATTTTTGTCGTGACGTCAATTATATGACAAAATCTTATTTGATGAATTTCACAGGTTTATCTGTCTACTTCTGTTGGAAAACAATCGCTGAAATTTAAAGTTCATAAAGAAAAAAGTTGAACTCGGATGAAACATACATTTTGTTTATGTAAAAAATGAACAACAATATAACAACATTAACACAACGACACTAATAACACCAGTAACAATCTTAACAGCAACATTTATGACAATGACAACATTGACAGTTAGTTTACAACTGTTTGCACAATCTCGCTCACTAGAGAGATTAGTTTGTTTGACGTTAATAACATTTGTGTTTTTCATTTTTTATCAGAAACAAATATTAAAAAAATGTAAAAAAGCAAAATATTTGATTTCAGGGAATTCTCTGTTTCTTTTTATAACAATAGGATTTATAAGAACTCAAAGATTGATCATCTGTTTAGATCCACTTCACGTTTGACCAGTCTGCTTTTAAAAACATTCGTATATTCTGCAGACGCGATATTTAAACTCTCACAAATAGTTTACCACTATGTTGCTAAAGAGTAACTGCTTCATTGGTCTTGTTCCTTACTTGATTAGCTTTAGTCTAGGCTCTATGGTAGAATTTATTATTTAATTTGAAAATTTAGTGGCTGAAAAATATTCTTCATCCGTAATGAGTTTGTAAGTTTCAATAAGGTCTCCAGGTGTATTTTTCTGCAATATTGTTAGATTACATCAGCAAGTCTTCCCTCATTATGCAGCCGCGGCAAGCTTGCAATTATTTTTGTAGCACTTTGTTGAACTTTCTAAATAATGTTTTGAAAAACGGATACAAAAACTGTGTGCTTCACAACTATCGAGATGTGGTTTTATGTAGAATTTATACAAACTTCGTAATTTTACCTTGTTCTTTCCTTAAAACTTGAATATAAGCTCGCAGTAATATAAATCCAACAACATGACGATGCAGGTTCATTAAATAATTTAATTGTTTTATAAATTAAATGTTCTTTTTCCGTATTTCGATTACAATAACAAATAAATTTGCGAACACATTCGGCCCAAAACAACAAATAAACATTTCTTTATGCTGATAGATGGTTTTTTTTCAGTACGATGCAAATAAAAGATGACGGATGTTCATAAATCAACACTGAAAAGGAAAATTGTTTTGACATTAACGTCACTTTGATATTAATTCTCGTATACCATGTTTTATCTATTCATATATCATGATCTATCTACTCATATATCTCGTTTTATCTTCTCATACGTCACTTTAATAATGACTGTTGTAACCATCGTTACATTTCTTATTTATCTGTTTATAATTAACAAACAAATTTACCAAGAGGTTAGAGTGTACTTTAGCTGAAGTTTCAGAACACTGCAATGAACGAAACGACAGCAGCTACCTTAATGATAAAACAAATTTGTTTACAAGACGGTATAATATTTCTTTCCCTTTGAAAAACTGTGAAATATCGCTTTGATTTTATCGATCGGCGGAGTGATCTTTTATTTTGGTATTTTTTGTGGAATAATTATGATAATTTTTTGGTTTAACTTTCATATTTTATATATTTCAATTCTGCTATACGGTTGTGAATCGTGGACACTGAAAAACTAAAGACTAAAGTGGACATTTTTGTTTGAAAGATCTATAGAATGATGTTTGCTCTCCAACAATCGGAGGTACACATGAAGAACAGGGTCTCTACGCGTTCACAGGGCAGCAAGAAATATCAAAGGAGATAAGGAATTGACAACACAAATTCATCAGTTACGTTCTCCAAATGCTGAAAGATGAGCCCATGCACATATATGAGCTCTACAAACCTGAAATCAAAACATCAAACCGCACAGGCAGACTGTGTTACTCTTACCTGGACCAAATTTTATATATATTATTATTATTATTACGGAAATTTATATACAGCACTTTTTTATTGTTGAATCTCAAAAGCGCTACTAAATCATAGACAAATAAGACGGACATTCATTGTGCAAATAAATAAGTTTTAAGTTGACTTCGAAATTGTAAATATGATAGGCTAGGGTCACGTAAGTATGGAGGTAAACCATTCCAAACAGTCGGGCCAAGAACCGCAAAGTTGCGGGAACCCGTCACCAACTTTGTGGTCGGGATAAAAAATCAATTGCGCTCGGTTGATCGGAAGGAATATTTTGAAAAATGAGATTTGTATGATTCCAATCTATCGATGAGGTAGGGAGGTGCTGGTTAGGGTCGGTCGGCCTCAGAAAATCTATGAACACAAAATCAGGTGGCAGAGTGAGTCTAAGTGATAAATTATCGGACGACCCATGCCAGGATTCCGTAACAACAAAAATATCAAAATTATTAGAAAATAAATCGCGAACAGTTTTGATCTTATTCATAATTGACCTAATGTTCAACAAACCTAATTGCAATTTTAGTTCTGAGTCTTTTTTGGTAACTTCACGATCATTACTACCACTTTTATCGTTACCATTACAACCATCATCGCAATCGCAAATACCACCATCATTACCACCACCGTTAACATTACCACCACAACCATCTCCACCACTGCAAATACCACAACCACATCTATCATAATCACCACAGCTGAACAAACTTTCACCACCAGCATCATCAGCAATACCTTCACCAGAAATCACTTCACCGGATGCTCTCTGAGTTTGACGATCCGCCACCTTCCCACCGTTCCCCTCACCTTGAATAAAAAACCCGGGCACGAGATTTTTCTTGATTTGGCTTCATCAATTAGTTTTTTTAACTCGGCACGCTGATCAACTGTTAAATCATGACTGATCCATACTTTATCAAGATCTTCATGCATAGTTTTTAATTTAAAGGAATTTTTTAACACTAAATCTTTAATTGCACAACTCCTCATTTCAATCAGCACCGGTCTAATTTTAGTTTCAGCTTTTGGACCCAGTCTAACAATTCTTTTAATATCCTGATCCTTGACTTCACTGGATAACTTTTTAATAATTCCTTTGACTCTATCTTTATCATCATCAGTTTCTTGCAAATTGAACATCATTATGTTATTCTCTCTTTCTTTCATGTCATTTGCATTGGTTAAAGTTTTTTGAACACTTTTTACCTCATCATTAACTAGTTCAATATTTTTCTTCACTTCGCATCGGACAGCATCAGCAAAACTCTTGTTCAAATCGTTTTTAAGGTTAGCCAGCTCAGTACTCAAAACTGTGCCATCGAATCTTTCCGCCCCATCAACATTTCTCTGAATTAAACTTTTGATAGCTTCAAGTTTGCTCCTCAACAAATTGTTCGATTCATCAATTTTGTCAATTTTAGTGTTGAGCGCATCATTGCTATCACGCACAGCTTTATTTAATGACTTTACATCAGGAAGTAGTTTCATGCATTCATCACAATACCACTTAATATTGGACACGGAACTGTTATTATATATATATATATATATATATATATATATATATATATAGTGTTGTTAAATATTTAGACTATCTAAATACTTAAATAGTATTTAAAAGAAATTCAAATTACTTAATAAAACAGCTGTATTTAGACAGTATTTTAATACATTAGCGTGATATTTAGTATTTGAAAAATTTAATTACTTTGACATAAAAGTTGCTTTATCAATCATCTATTCTGCTCCTTTGAGTTTTCAAACATTGTTGATGAATTTCAGTATTGATGTCTTTTTTAATTCTAATGCTAACAATGAGGAAACTTACCGCAATGTAATTTGATCGCATATAAAGTAATAAAATTTAAAAATTTGGTAATTTATGATCCTTTTTTTATTTAACGTGTAAATTTTTGTATCAAATGAAAACTACATGGTATTTAAAATAATTTTTAAACATTTCTAGCCAATATTTAAAGACTTTTAGCAGTATTTGGTATTTAAATACTGTTTAAATACTAAATTTTGACTAAGTATTTGCAAAGTTTTAAAATATTAGAGAGAAAGCTCATCTTAAGGTGCAATAATTGTGATTCAGCTCTACGTTCTCAATTCATGTCTTTAAAGTGTTGTAATTTACTTTTTATCTATTTTTATTATAAATTGATTGTGGGTCACGTAGCAAGTTTTTATCATTTAATTTGGCTTTTTCTTCTAAGAAAATGAAATTATATGAATAATGAATGACAGTATTAAATTTGACACGGCAATACTTTTTTTATTTAATGTTGTTGAACTATTTTATTGTTGAACAGACAGCGACAATTTGATTCCCCCTTATTAATATAATTAATGTAATAAACTTTGAAAGATAGCACAAGTTGTTGTGTGCTAATATGTAGTTAGATAACACAGGATGATAAAATTTTATGACTACTTGATAAGTTTTTGGAACTCGTATTGCTTATTTAAATAATAATAATCATTGTCCTTTCTTAAATAAACTTGCAAGTGTTACAAATTTAGCTTTATTAATGAGATTAAATTGTGAATACTTTTGTTTAAAAGTTTTATAATTTGCGTAAAATAATTGAAGCATTTATTGAAGTTCGTTAATACGTATAAACTAACAGACATTGCGGTGTTGAATTCAATAGGCTTTTCGATAAACCGTGTTAATGGGGAAGTTCTGTATGAATTGCAAATAAAACAGAAAGTCTCAACATTTTTATGGTTTAGCAGGGTATAGAAATTATAAGTGTCGGAATTATACTCCAAACTCCAGCCAACCATTACAAAAATTTCCCCTTTAACCTGCAAACCGAATTAACATTAGAAGTGAAACCTTCCAAAGCCAATTCCATCTCAAAAAAGTTTTCCATTTCCATGAATTGGCTTTTTTTATAAGTTATTTCCATGACAGATGTTGTGAAGTTATAAAGAGATTGTATGTACTTTATATCGTGCAGTCATGTGTAATAATGTGTTGTGTATGCATGTATGTATGTGAGGATATACAAAAATATGTAATATATATATATGTTATATAATATTATATAAATAATGTATAAGTATCTCTATGTGAGCAAAAAGTTTAGCATTAAAAGAATAGAAACCTTCATGTCTTGTTTGCGTAACGTTGGAATTATTTATTAATCTATCTTTAGTCTAGTCAGACAGTCTACTAAAAATGCATTAACTTTTTGGAAAAAATTTCATACTCTACCACAGAGAGCAAAAGAGAGAGAGAGAGAAAGAGAGAGAGAGAGGGAAAGAGAGAGAGAGAGAGAGAGAGAGAGAGAGAGAGAGAGAGAGAGAGAAGGAGAGAAGAGAATGATACATACCTACAAGCAAGATTGTTTAAGAAAAATAAATGAATGATTTTTATCTAAAAAAGACAGAGATATATAGAGAGAGAGTTAGTAGTTTTTTGTCAGTTTGTAAGATACAAAGAATAGATGTCACTAATCCAGGTGTTTTTCATAATTATAATAAAAAACAAATTAAAAATTATAATAATAACAATAATAACAATAATATTAAACGCCTTCCGGAACAAAATGAAATCAAGTTATGCATGCACGCACATGCAGTGATCGTCAATCCATCTGGATGGAAGATTGCTTGAAGAGAAAGGTTGATGAACTAACCGCTACGAGTACTGTAGTCTCCGTCCTCAAATTCTTTTTACACGCACACATACACACACCACACGCACGCACGCACACACCACACATACGCACACAAACACGCACGCACACAAACAAACACACATGCACGTCGTGTCACATTATTATTCATCGTGTTTCGTTTCATTCATACTGCTAGGTGCCGTCTGACTGTTGATCGTATTTTCACATTCTTCTTTTGTTATGTGCATGCAGACGCACACAAAACATACACACAACAAACACACACACATTTATACATTCATCTGTATAAGAAAATATTTTTACAAACACACACACACACACACACACACACACACACACACACACACACACACACACACACACACATACACACACACACACACACGCACGCACGCACACACACACGCACGCACGCACGCACACACACGTATATATTTATATACCGTTTAAATATACTTGCAAATAAATGTAAGCGAATATGACATGCATTGAAATGAGAAAGTTTCATAAGAGAATATGGTTGCGAGATGAAGTGGAGATTTTTGAACTCTGCTTTCTCGTTTGGTTGAGGAGGGTTCTGCTTCGAATGCCGTTTTCGTTCAGTTAGCGCATGTCCTGGATGCTGTTTATTTAAAAGGTTGGTAGTGTTTTTTATTGCGTTTTATTCTAGAAAGTTTCACAAAGTTTTACAAGTTTTCACATTTATTTTTTAAATTGCGATCTGTAATACAGTGTCATTCTTTTCTATTGATTTTTTCAAAGAAGCGTCGGTTGTGGGTATCATTTTGTGTGCAGTCAGTCAGTATGTTTCTACTTTCTGTATGATGTTGTATGAGTGAACGTTTGTTTGTTTGTTTGTATATAAAATCAGGTGTTCAGTTCGTTTCAGTGCATTTTATATTTTACTCTGTTTCAAACAAGATCTTGTTATCTATGATGATTTTAATTATTTCGAAGTTTAGTTGCGCTGTTTGTTCTTCGGAATCGTTCATTACACGAAATACTTCAGTTTACTTTACTGAAATTAGTAAATAATTTACTGATTTACAATTTTAATACTTTTAAAACAATTTATATAAACACATATATATTTTTAAATATTCATAAACAAGGAGTTAAACAGTCATCTGTTAATTAAAAATAATTGCAGACTTAAAAATGACAAAAAATACAAACTTAAGAAATTTTCGAATAAATTTTTGATAAAATATTTTAACAAAGCGCCCACCAACAAATACCACAAAATGCTGAAGAGAGCGACAGGCAAGTTGGTTTCATGTTCAGTGGTGGCCATCTCCAAATGCTCCTTTAGTAGATCCACACTGGAGCCATTATCGACTAAATGGAAGAAGAGCCAGATTCAGTTAAAAAACCTTACATGTGTATCTTCAAGGTTTGAATAATTATAAGAATATTTAATTTTTTTCATTTTACCATTACAAGATTTTTCTGACTTTATTGTGTGTGTATGTGTGTGTGAGCGTGTGTGTGTGTGTGTGTGTGTATGTGTGTGTGTATGTGTGTGTGTCAGCTGAATAATCATGGTTGTTTTGTAACAAAAACAACAACACAACAGCCATTGCTACTACATGCAACAAATTTCCCAATTACTATGGTTTTTCATAAGCATTTTGTCATTAATGTTAGCCAACATCCTTCCAGTCTTTAATGTTGGTGTTATCATCAATCATTCAATCATCATTCATTTCCTCAACATCACCATCCATTTTGATCATTCGTTTCATAATCACCATCACCATCATCACCACCATCATCATCATCATCGTCGTTGTCATCATCACCATCAACCATTTTAACCATTCATTTCATCATCATCATTATCCATTTTAATCATTATATTTTTATCGCCGTGTCGTCGGCATTCACCAACAGTAATTATATCGTCTACTTGGTTAAAAGTTCGACCTGTCAGATCAAAAAAGAGCGACGAATATAACAGAACATCATCATCATCATCGTAGACATCGTCATCTTTATCATCTTCTTTATCATCATCCTCTTCATCATCATCCTCTTTATCATCATCCTCTTCATCATCATCATCCTCTTCATCATCATCATCATTATCACCGTCGTCATTATCATCATCCTCACGAATATCTTCAATAAATTATCATAGCCGTCATTTTTACCTCTAGATACAAAAGGCTCTCTATCATTTTTTTACTCGCCAAATGATTACTTCATCATCATAGTCTTTGTCATCATTATCATAGTCATAATTTTGAATAAATATCGTCATCATTATCATCGTCGTCATTATCATCCTTGTCGCTCTATCGATATCATTACCATTCTCACTTTCATTAGAAACATCTTCGTCGTCGTCGTTGTCATCATCATAGAATGTTTAAAAGCATCACATCAAAGAAACAATTGCACTCAAAATGTCATCATAATCATCGTCTTCATCTTCATCCTCTCATCTTTGTCGTCACATCATCTTAATTATCCTTGCCGTCATAATCATTTTCGTCACAATTTTTACCATCATCATTACAATTACACTGGCACACATGATTTTTTTCCCATAAAACGTTAAATGTTCCTATATAATTTGTTTTACGCTGATTTCAAATCTGAAAACCGTGTTGTTCTATCGCATCTCGTTCCAAAGAAAAACGTTCAACTGTTTTTATAAAATACGCTTCATTCTTTCTCGTGCTTCTTATCCTTTAAAAACATTGGCGACCATCGACCTCCACAAAACTCGATCTTTAACACTTTGTAGTAGTTGAAATGTGGTGATATTCAACAAGTGACACAAGACTTCACGAATGCTGTTCGTTGTTGACCGCGATTTATTTTCCATGCAATTTTTCCAGTATTGGTTAGATTTTCCATTCTTTCCTTCCGCATGATGTGACCAAAATGCTTTAACTGCTTCAATGGAATCATGCCTCCAGACCAGAGACGACGGGGTAGGCTGGGCTTGCAGGTCACTGCTGGTAGCTGCAACGTGATTGATGCCCCAGAATTTGAACATTGTCAAAAGTCTGTTTGCAAAACACTCAAGCCTCTTTCATAAACTTTATATGCAATTTCAATCAACATGTTTTGTTTTAATGAGCAATAACAACATTTTAAAATATTATTTGCAAATCATTTTCAATGAGATGACATTTTTGACCAACAAAAAGTCTTGATAAGTTTTTTTATGTTTTAATGACCATATAATGAATATAAATAACTATTAGCGATAACTGATGAAAATAAGTTGAGCTTCAGTTGAGGTTTACTCAAACATTTGATGTGATACAGACAAACGGATTGTAGATTTGAAATCAGCGTGCTTATATTAACTGGAAATACATATATTTACTGCAGAAGTAAACAAAAAAATTTTTTGTATGTCAGTGTTATTATTTGTAGTTATTTTAAATTATTTTTTTTGTCAAACACCAACCCCACCTTCATCATCATCCTCATCATCACTACTCTGTCAATCAAGAGTACTTTCATTATCTCCAGCCTCATTCTAATTTTTATCATCAGCCAATAAATCATCCTTGTATGTGATTTTTATTTTTTTTCGTAAATGCATTTGGTATTACACACACACACACACACACACACACACACACACACACACACACACACACACACACACACACACACACACACACACACACACACAACAGCAACAACATCAAGAGAGGAGAGAGAGAGAAAAAAAGAGAAAGACACACACCCACACTTACAAACACAAACAAACACACATACACACATAAACACATACATAGGTGTATACATAAAATCAAAAATTTCCCAATAACGACGACGTTTCATTTTAATCAGTTGCAATTATTTTTAAAGTCAACGTTCAAATTCAATGCCATCAACACCATCATCGTCATCATCACCACTGTTATTATCTTCATCATAATCTTCTTCCCCTTCTTCTTCTTCATCGTCATCTTCATCATCATCACTATCTTCAGCATCATCATTATCAATAGTAAATAGATAAAGAGTTAAGTATAGCCATTGATGACGATGATGGTGATGATGAATATGATGACGAATATTCTGATGAATATGATAATAATTATGATGAGAAAAAACTCATAAAATTATTTTTAGTGTTAATAATAATAGAAATAAAATAAAAATGCGAATGGCAATAACAGATGATGATGACGACGACGACGATGATGATAGTATAGAAATGGCGAACGGTTAGAAGAACAGCGTATTAAACGCTGTTATATTATTATCATTAATATCATTAATACGACGACGACGATGATGATGATGACGAAGACGATGATGATAATGATGATGTAGCTATTTGAAAGCAGAGAATTAAATAGACAGCCTTAGCAAATGTTTATCAATGAATCACGTGATTTTTATTTCAAACTGTGAACACGCACCGGAACGTGAACACGTAATTACTGTCGTTGGAGATGGTTTATTAAAGTTTTACGGAGTGAGTTTGATACGAAGGACTATGTAATTATGTATGATTAAGACGATGATGTCTAGAATATCATCACAAATGCAACTACAATAATAATAATGATAATAATAATAATAATAATAATAATAATAACAATAATAATAACAATAAAAATAATAATAATCAAGACCCTTTTACCAAGGACGATTGTTACACGTGATTCGAAGTTAGTTGGAATCTAGGAAGAAGTTAATTTATTTTTACAGACTCTTCTTGATTTGCGATCATTTCAAATGATCCGTCCAGTTTCCATTGTCACTTTTCCAGTCCTCCTGAACAGATTTTGTTCCCGGCGATTTCTTTAGTTCAACAAAAGTTGACTTTATTTATAGACGTGTACGTGTATCGACAACGATCATTAAAATGCTGTACAACTAAAATGCGACTATATTGGTTCGCATAATTATATAGGAGATTGTTAATAACTCCATCATTATTATCGTCGCCATCATCATCATATTATCATCGTCATTATTATCACCATCTTCCTCATCATCATCCTATGTGATACATAGGACATGTCCAATTTGTATAGCATCTACCATCAAAGACGGCACTCGAAACCGTTTCGTGTTGAGATTGATGTTGAAGCGCCGCCAATAATTTCGTTGTAAAATTATATTCAACAACTTGTTTTTTGTTAGTTGCTGATGGATGTACGCTAGCTGTATGACTCGACTCCAATGTTTTCGAAATGCGATCAAACAGATCACGCCACTGATTATGTCACTGTTCATTTAATTAGCAAGAAAAAACCAAGTGCAAATACGGGACTGCAACAACAAAATTACCAAAAATCAGATGGAATTAAAACCCAAACATCTTACAACTATTTCAACCGCTAATCATTAGTTAATCATTTTACCAATATACATCACAGCAAACACCACACATACCAAAAAAAAAAACAAATTGCACATACAACATGCACCACCACCAGTACTAACAACACCAACAACAACAACA